AGAAGCCCCAAAGCTTAAACCGTAAAGAGTGCCAAACCCTAAACCTGAACAACCCCAAACCTCTGAAGGGGTCCCACTAGCCTAAACCTAAACTGGCCCCCAATCCCCGGACGACCCCAAGCCCACACCCTAAACAAACCGAAGCCCTCTGCCCTTCAAATAGCCTAGACTGCAAACCTTAAACAGCCTAAGGTCTAGACAACACCGAACCCGGAAACCAACAACCCTGTGCCTTCAATAGCTTTCGGAATCCCGATACCAACAAATCCTACACCTCCATTAATAGCCCCACACAGCAATCCCTTAACAAGCCCACAATCTGAAAGCTGAGAGGGGTCTACTTATAGGCCTGTAGGCCCTGCGTGAGTGGTGTCAGTATGGGTCTATATATATATATAGGACAAAACATAGGTTCTAATTAGGGGCCTGTCGACGCCTAGAAGGCTGTTTCCTTTCAGTCTTAACTATCTGCGGAATCGTAGGGATTTATTCAGGACTGTTTGGCCTCATTCAAGTCTTATTAGGTTGGGGAGATGCATATTGTGGGGCGGGCCGATGGTAGTCCGATGACTGGCATGAGTTGACATCCGCGGACTTTCAAAGGTCACACCACACAGAGAACATGACCTAGCCAGCATATTCCAGTGTGAACATGTTCTACCATCTTCAATGTTTTACCTTTATTCGTTGTGCTCCGCGGATGTCCTTGTGCTTGATCTGGCAGCTTGGTCGTCTGCAAGCTGGGCAGATTCGGATCCCGAGCACGGTACGGCCAAGGAACCGGGAGAAGCAAGGATGCAGCGGTTGCCACTCCGTTGGACTTGCAGTCGATTCCAAACGTGCCAGACCAAGCGTATAAAACCCAATTGATGATATCAGGACAGGCAGCTGCACTGCAAATATTAGCAGGCTGTGTGCAAAAGGAATGAATGGGGGCCTACTGAAAGGGATGTTCAGTTTCGGTCAAGTCCTTCTAGACTCCTTGCTAAGGCTCGTTATGTTGATGTCATGTAGCTGGGCAGTGCAGCTTTCGCAAGCTGGCGTCCATCATGTTGTGCCAGCGTGTCTAGACAAGCAGCTGCGAAGATGCAAGTTGACGGTGCCAACGGCACTGCCGCTGGAAGCATGCGACCTGTCGTTGTCATGCTGATCCACATGCGGACACCTAATTTGTGCAGGACAGACTGGCGGCACATCAATTTGCATCTTGGCTCGTTTTCTGTAGCAAGGGCCAAATTAGAAGCCATCTAGGCGTAAGCTGCAAGTGCCTCTGCAGCTCAACATCGAAATCGATGTCCGGACCTTCCTCTGGGCTACAATGAGGAACTCTGCTTTGCATCCGTGCCCTAATCTCAGACACTCATCACTTCTCATCGCAGCAGTTATCTCAGCAAGTCTAAACCCTAAACCCTAAGTCTATAGAGAGTGCAAAACAGATCCCTCCTAGAGCTCAGTGTCGGAGTGGTAGGGAGTCAAGCAGCTGGTGGCAAAGTAACACCAAGGTTGACCTCTTTGCTCCCATTGCAATAGGGGTTTAGGGTTTAGGGTGTAGCGTTTAGGGTACATTGCAAGCAGCTGCTCTTTCCTTGAACTCCACGGAATGGTCCAACTAGGCAAGTCGCACATCAACGGCTTCGTTGCATGCAATCCACTCTCTCAAGTGGACGAGAACCCTCCACAAAAGGTCTGAAACAAACTAACGCTAGGCACCATTCTGATTCTGGACTGAGGTCTCCTAAGTCCAGTGGGATGTGGATTTCTTTTGCATTTGATTGGAGAGCGCAGATGTTAGAATAAATTCGGCTCGAAGCGCATCATCTGCCCGCACCTTAGTTTCAAAAAATTGCACAATCCGGCCCAGGTAGCATGGGGAATGGAATGTAATATGTAGATATATAACCTCGTATAGTGTGCACACACATATACATATATATATATGTAGAACCTTGCATGAAATCCTTTACCTGAAAACCACCCTCTCGNNCTTTCGCGGCCCAAGGAAAACCCACAAAAGCTTCATCTGACCAAACATGTTCTGAACGCGTCTTCTTCTCCATGCAACTTCAAGTAAGATTGCGAAGGTCAAGTTACATGAGATCAGATAGAAAACAATGCTAGCCGGCATGGAGCCAAACCCTGCCCACAACATCGCTGAACAACACCTGGCTTATTCAGGTCATGTTACCCCTTCGCTCTGCTTTCGCGGATCTTTCTTATCACATGTTCCCTGCTTTATATAAACAGGAAACAAGGGTTTTAGGACGGCCCCCATAT